CCTCTATCCATCTTCTATCCGGCTCCCCCTCTCTCCCTATTTATTTCAGAACCCCCTTCCCCTCCCCCATTTCTGATGAAGGGTCTAGGCCCGAAACATCAGCCTTCCTGCTCCTATGATGCTGCTTGGCCTACTGTGTTCATCCAGCCCTGCACCTTGTTATCTCAGATTCTCCAGCATCTGCAGTTCCTACTATCTCTGATACAACTTTAATATAAAACCTTTTGTTTTCTGGTGAGTTGTGTTTGTGACAATTGAACGCAGTGGAATTTACAGGGAGTCAGTACAGATTTGACTGCCCGAATGGTCTCTGTTTGAGCTGTAGTCGCTCTGCCATGGAATGTAAATATTAAGAATACAGTCTGAACTCTAAGTTAAATTGAAGAAATTTTACCTTTTATTTTCATCAGTAAACAAGTGAAGTTCAGTCTTGCCCTCAGGCTAAATTGCGTACAGAGTATCTGTCTCCAATGTACATGTGCAAACAGACACATATGAACAAGGAAGAAAGTACGAATCTTCTCTGTCCCCTTCACAACACACACAGCCACAAGTACAAACTTGGAGCGCTTTAACTCAGTGGTTCTCAACTTTTCTACATCTGGACCCCCATCTTCTAAAATTCCACAGACATCCTAAAACAAACAAAAAGTTTACAATCTGGTCATACAATTGTACATCTATATTGATTATTATTTTTGTTTTGCTTACTGCATGTGAACTTGGGTAGTTATTATCATCAAAGTAACTATAACGTGATTTTTGATGAGCAGTCGTTCTCAAATCGCATCCAAATATTCAAACCTAAAGTCTAATGGCTTCCCTCCCCTGTGAAAGCACACTTTTAAAAAAAAGCCTTAGTTCACCTTTTCCAGCACCTTCCAAATTCAGGACCTGTGCCATCTAGAAGGACCAGGGCTATAGGTACATGGGAAGACCAGCACCTCTCTAAACCACTTAGCATCCTGAATTGGAGTTATAGTGCTGTTACTTCTAAATCCTGGAACCTCTTTCCAAACAGCACCATGGGAATATCTACCCTCCCCCTCCCCCCCACCCACAGTCTGCAGTAGTTCAAAAAGGCATCAATAGGATGATTGCTGATCCTCTGTGTCAAACCCATATTGCTTTTCTGGCCTCCCATCAGCTTGTCAATCCATTGCATAACACTGTCTAGAGTCATAGACACCTGTATTATGCCTTTCATCGTTCAAGTAGTCATGGGTCCAGCTCCCACTTCTGGAACCTGGAAGCAAAATACAAATTGACCCTCCTCCATGCTGCAGTCCTGTACACAAGGAGTGCTTTACTACTGGAGGTGCCATATATTGAATCCAAGTATAAAATTGAGGCTCTATCTGTCCTCTTAAGGTGTATGTAAAAGATCCCATGGTAGTGTCTTGACTGGGAGAGGGGACAGTGGTGTAGTGGTAATATCACAGTGTTAGATTCTCTGGTGACACTGATTCAAGTCCCACCACAACTGCTGTTGGAATACGAATTGAATTAATAAAAATCTGCCCTGATTTCCTTCCTTAATGAACCAGATGAGATCTCATAACAGCCAGTGATACTTTCTTCTGGGTTAGTGGGCATAGATTTAAAGTGATGTACAAAAGATGCAACAGTGATGTGAGGAAATATTTTTTCACCCAACAGGTTGTTTGGCTATGGAATGAACTGCCTAGAAGTGTGGTGGAGGCATTCAAAAGGACATTGGATAATTTTAGATAAAACTAATGTGCAAGGGTATGTGGAAAAAGGAGGAGATTGGCACCAGGTTCTCGTTTAATGAGCTGGTCCAGGCATGATGAGCTGAACGGTCTCATTCTGCCCCGTCACGATTCAGCAAATTCCGTGACTCCTATTTTCTCCCCATACCCCTTGATTCAGTAACTTGGTCTCCACAGCCTTCTTTGGTAGAGAAGTCCACAGCTTCACTACCCTTTGAGTGAAGAATTTTTTTCTAATCTCAATCCTAAATGATCTATCCCATGTCCTGAGATGGTGTCCCCTGATTCTAGACTTCCCAACCTCAGAAAACATCCTCCCTACATCTAGACTGTTCAGAACTGTTAAAATTGTATACATTTCAATCAGATTCTCTCTCATCCTTATCCCTTCTTATCCTTCGAAACTCTAATGAATACAGACCCAGCCATACTAATCACTCCTCTTAGAAGAGTCCTCACATGCCCAGTGTCAGCCTAGTGAACCTCAACTACACTGCAATGGCATGTATAGCCTCTCTTAGGTAGGGAAACCAAAACTACATTCAGTACTCCAGGTGAGGTCTCGGCAAAGTCCAAGTATAACTGCGGTAAGACATCCCTACAACAACCTGTCTTTTCCTTGCAAACATTCTGTGGTGACTCTTGGTTGACACCTTGAGACTATCGCAGGCTCCAGTCTTAAACAACCTGCCATAGTTATAATGTGACTAACTCTGCCTTTTCAATGTTGCAGTATCGTGATAAAGAATGGACATTGTGGGATCGCATAAATGTACAAGGCATTAAACCAAATGGTGAAGAGATGACACTGGCAGAATTCCTAGATTACTTTAAGGTAACAACAACTTTCCTCTCTACTGCTTTGGGTTTGTGAGTCATAGATACATAGAATCATTCAGCACTGAAACAACCCCTTTGGTCCAACTCATCCATGCTGACCAGACATCCCAAACTGAACTAATCCTATTTGCCTGCACTTGGCCCATATCCCTCCAAACCTTTCCTATCCACGTACCTGTCCAAATGTCTTTTAAATGTTGTAAATGTACCTGCATCTACCACTTCCTCTGACAGGTCATTCCATGAACGCACAACACTCTGTGAAAAAGTTGCCCCCTCGGGTCCCTTTTAAATCCTTCCCTTCACCTTAAAAATATGCCCCCTAGTTTAGGATTCCCCTACCCCAGCAAAAGGACCTTTGCTATTCACCCTATCTAAACCCCTCATGATTTTACAAACCTCTAGAAAGTCACCTCTCAACTCCCTATGCTCCAGTGAAAAAAGTCCCAGCCTATCCAGTCTCTCCTTATAACTCAAGCCCTCCATTCCCAGCAACATCTTGCCCTAGACAAAGGGGTTGTATCAATCAGCTTCTACATCTTCACATGTATAAAAAAGAAAGGAGCTCAATTTCAATTGATACTTTTTATTTCAGAACAACATGGGGTCCACAGGTGAGCAGTTTATGGAAGTTATGCATTTTGCCTGACAATGTTCGAACTCTTTGTCATGAAGAAGATTTCATCTCTGATGTGCTTTTTGTCCCTCAAACATGTATTGCTTGTTTTTTTGCAGGGAGGTAGGGGGTAGGTTAGCTCACTCGGCTGCACTGTTGGTTTGTAATGCATAGTAACACCAAAACAGCATAGGTTCAATTCCAGCCAGAAAGTGCTGCCTTCTCAACCTCACTCCACACCTGAGGCATGGTGATCCTCAATTTAAACTCACCAGCAGTCACCTCTCCCAAGTGAGAGAGTGAGACTACAATAACTTGTGGAAACATCTCTATGATTTAGCTTTAATGCAAGCCATCTTTGTAAAATTCTATGTGGTCCAAACATGAAGATAAACTGCAATAAATGGCCATAGCACAGAGCTGGATGTTAACACTTCAAACAAAGTGAGCAGTGATCTGTCAGGTATTAAGATGTTAGAAAAATAACTCTGAACTGACCAAGTGTGTGACAGGGATAGAACAAGGCATAGGCCACTGGTCTGGGTACTTGGATGACAAGTTAAATATTTTAGTGAAGCTGGAAATATAATGCAGCTGTCAACGTCATGATCAAATGAGCAATGTTCCGAAGGCCACCTAACTCTATTGAGACAAGACTATAAGACGAACGTTATTGTTTTATTTTTCTGGCTCCATATTCTGTGTTTTGGTTTTATTTTCTGTGTTTTAAGATGACGCTGGAGAGTGGCAACACCAACTAACAGCTTTCACTGTATTTGTAATAAATACGCACAACAATAAATCAAATCAAATCAGATCAATCTCATGCAAAAGCCCACTCCAACTTTTTGGGCAAAATATTATTCATTTTTCATATACTTTCTTATAGGTTAACCCCAGAAGTTTGGACAAAATGTCCAAACTCTTTGTACTTACTTGAAGTCAAGTGATGAAGGGGCTATGGTCCAAAAGCTTGTGATTTCAAATTAACCTGTTGGACTATAACCTGGTGTTGTCTGACTTCTGACCTTGTCCACCCCAGCCCAACACCGGCACCTCCGCATCATGTCTGTGCACATCAACATGCAATTTCAGAGCCTCCTCCTCACTGGTGTGTGCTGCATTCCTATCAATCTTGTCCCCCGAATATAGCAACAGGGTTCCAGTAGATACACAGCCAAGTTCAAACTTAAAGTCATTGAAATTGCATAGTACGCAAATAATTGGGCATCCAGTACTGCATTCAAGGTGTCATGGAAGAGTGTTGGAGATTATCAGAAGCTTCCTGCAGAGCTTGGGCAGGTGATTAAGAATAAATATGCAAACAGAGGAATGCCTGGTATATGTGTGATCACAATTGGAAAATGAAGTTGCAGAATACATTGATGAAAATCTCCAGATCGGCTTCTCAGCTTCACAAGGATCAACCTGGAACTTCACCCTGAAACAAACAAGAACATGAGTCATTGCCAGTTTCAAAGCCAGCCCTAAATGGTGCACCAGATTTATGAAGAGAAACATTTTTCTACAGCAACAGAAGATCAGGATTTCACAGCATCTCCCCACGAAACATGATGACCAGCTTATTACACATCCACTATTAATAATCAAACATTGACAAACGAATGGATACAGATTGGCTTCTATTGTAAAGAAAAAGTCTTCTCATCTGGGTTATGTTCAGGTCACACCTTGTCAACGATATTGTTGCTGAAGCTAGATTGCAAAGCAACGATGACCAGCCTTTGGACTTCTTCAAAGTCCCTCAATGATAGAATGAGCACCAAGTGGAATGATTGGATGATCAGTGCAGGGAAGTCATTTATAAAGGAAGTTCGCATTCAGGTTCCAACAATACCCACCCTGTGAGAGTTGGTGAATTTCTGAATTATTAAAAGCTCAATTGACCCCTGTGTTACCTCACCTACAATGCTTGGCAGGAGGACAAATGGGTATTATCTTTGGGGGTGTCCTTCGCATATTGGGATTACCCACACAGAAGGGAGTTTCCTCCATCCCTCACGCAATTTAAAACTAATCCCCCCACCTTTCCCTAAGGTGACAAAACCCTCCCCACCCAATGCCTCGTAACTTACGTTGGCCCTGGAATCCTTTGGAGTCTTCATCCTGGGTCTGGATATATGATGCTACTGAGCTCTGTCACTGCTGGGACTGTCAGTGAATCAGAGTGGGTCATTCTGCCTGGGGTTTATAGTTTAAAAAGTTGCATTCTCCCAGCACTGAGTTATCGCAACACTATAGCCATGGAATATTCAGTTATACTTGCAATAAAAGTGGGAAGCAAGTGCGTAAATGCCATTCTTAATCTAACCAAGACAAACTAGTTATACACAAAGCACAGTTAAGATTTTATTTTCCTTTTAATAAGCATACCCATTATGTCTTGTCAGGCATCTGCAAACCCAGTTTAAGGATTCCTTAATTGCCACCAAACTAGGCACTGCCAAATATTAGGTTATTCACATAATAATAGTCATTAAAAGCTGTTCTATCATTGTGCACATCTCTCCTCCAGACACTATACAGAAACAACATGTTCCCCCAGTAATTGTCTGAGAACCGCTGTATCTCAAGTAAGTATTGAAGTATGCTGTTCCCCCAAAAATATCGGCAAAGGGGTGAGAATTTGGAACTTGCGATCACAGACAGTGTCAGGCAGAGATGCATTTTGCAGGGCAGTGAGCTAAACACAAAGGGGAGAAGAACAGAAAAGAATGATAGAAAGAGATAGAATCTGCTGAGATGGAAAATGAGCACCAGCGTATATTGTATGGACTGAATAGCAAAGAAGCAGCAGCTGTAAATCCAATGCAACTCTATAATTTCCTAATTCCCAGTTCAAATGTACGAGCATATATGTTTGAAAGTTTTGATGTCAGTTGATCAATTGAGGTGTTTCCTTAAGAATGAATAGTTTGGTTGTGACATTTGGTCTTTATTTTGCTGGCAAAGATTATCGCTGTCATCATCGTCAGTGAGCACATTTTGTCAAAGATTTCAAAAGCAGAAATTGCTGGAAGAGCTCAGCAGGTCTGACAGCATCTGTGGACAGAAATCAGAGTTCAGTCTGAGGAAGGGTCACTAGACCCGAAACGTAAACTCTGATTTCTCTCCACAGATGCTGCCAGACCTGCTGAGCTTTTCCAGCAGTTTCTGTTTTTGTTTTCTGCTTTACAGCTTCTGCAGTTCTTTCGGTTTTCATTTTTGTCAAAGATTTCAAGTCAGGTTTTGTCACAAACACTTCAGCCCTCAGTGGGTTAAAGCAACAGTGCTGATCTGATGCTGTATGCTGTAACCACCTTGGTAGGACACAAACAAGAGTTAATGGTAAGAAGTTGGAAAAATGAGTAAATTATCAAGAGATCTTACTGGTAAACTTGGGGTGGATGTGTACATGGTATTCAGCTCCAGTCTGATGGGCAGAAGGTCATCCTAGGTTCAAGGATAACATGTGTCACAGAAGGGAGTGATCCTTGCCAATCGAGGTGAATGCAGGTAGACAAGTCGGTGCTGTCAACAGCAGACTCCTTAGAGCTGAGCCATCAAATTACTCTGTGTCTACGTTACTCTGTTATCTTGGCCCACCTCCAGCTGTGCTGGCTGTGAGATTGGTTTCATAGCAAAAAAAAACAACAGGATATCTAACCTCTAATTCTGAGCAACAAACCACGTGTATTTATTTTGCAAGAACTGGCGATAATGATTTGTTTCTTACACGGTGTAATATTTAAAGGGTGGAAGATAAGGCTGAACATTAACCAATCGGGCACATAATAAAAATGAGCATTGTACAAACATAACCCGACTCCTTTACTTTCCATATTACTCAAAACAGAGTGAAATTTCTCCCAATTAACTCTCAGGTTATTGCTCACTGGTTGTTATTCACCGACGCAATAATAGTGAACCCCAGGACCAAATCATTCAATACATCAATTCTTTTCTCTGTACTAATATAATCCTCATCCTGAATAATGGGTAGTGCTATTCTTAAAAAAGTTTTTTCATTTCTTCCCCCTCCATAGCCTGATTACTTTTTTGCACTGGTATAAAGTTTGTACCATTGAGTGACCACTACAGCCATGCTTTATTTAATGACATGACTGTGGATGCTACCAAAGAGAAAAGGAAAACCCATAAATAATATTTGTGACTATCAACAATAACTTACCTTTGTTTGGTGCCTTTGATGTGATAAAACATCCCAAGGCACTTCACAGAAACTTAAAATAATAAAACGAATTACAAGTAATATCAAGAGATTTAGCAGCAGATGGCTTGGCACAAAAGGTGAGTTTTGAAGAGCATTTGGAAGGAAGAAGGATGTTATCAAGGCAAAGTGGTTTAGGGAGGGAATTTCAGAGATTTGGAGTTAGGTGGCTGATGATATGGCCACCAAGTCATTAAAAGCAGGGATGCATTAGGGTTAGAGACCAACATTAGATGAGAGTAGGTATCTTAGGGTAGTTAAGGGCTGGAGGAGATTACAGAGGTCAGGAGGGAGGAGGCTATAAGAACAGCATGGCCAGCAGAGTTTGAGATTACCTCTCAAGTTCATAAAGGGCACAAAGTGGAAAACCAGCCAGGAATATTGCAACAATGGAATATATCAGTTTTCCTCTACCTTATTGATTAAAGTTACAGAGGTTTCAAGCCCCTTGTTAGCATAAGGCTGAACGTATAGAGTCAGACAGCAAGGAAACTGACCCTTCGGTCCAACTCGTCCATGCCAACCAAGTTTCCCAAACTAAACTAGTCCCACTTACCTGCGTTTGACCCATATCCCTCCAAACCTTTCTATTCACGTACCTGTCCAAACATCTTTTAATTGTCGTAACTGTACCTGCATCTATCACTTCCTCTGGCAGCTCATTCCGCATACCCTCTGTGTGAAAAAGTTGCCCCTTTAGGTCCCGAAAGATCTTTTTCCTCTCACCGTAAGTTTTGAACTTCCCCACCCTAGGGAAAAGACCTTTGCTATTCACTTGGAGAGGGGGTCTGAAGAAGGGTCCAGACCCGAAACGTCAGCTTTCCTGCTCCTTTGATGCTGCTTGGCCTGCTGTGTTCATCCAGCTCTACACCTTGTTATCTCTTTGCTATTCACTTTATCTGTATAAACTTCTATAAGGTCACCCCTTACCTCCTACATTCCAGTGAAAGAAGTCCCAGCCTATCCAGCCTCTCCTTATGACTCAGAGCCCCCAGTCCTGGTAACATCCTCGTAAACTTTTCTGAACACTCTCCAATTTAATAATTACCTTCTAGAAGCAGCGCAACCAGAACTGTACACAGTATTCTAAATGTGGCCTCACCGGCATCCTGTAAAACCTCAACATAATATGAGGCAAGAAAATACTTAAATTTCTTAAAGGTTGTGTGAGATTTTCACAATCCAGCAAAAGCAGTTTTTCCAGTTTCACTTTGGGAAAAGCAAATTCAATCAGATATGAGTATGTTACCTGCCCCAAACTAAACTCCTTAAAATAAAATTTATAGCAACAAGTTAAACTAACACAGAAAATGTCACCAGAATATTACAGACTCACAGAGGAGCTTTCATGAATTCTCCCCAGCCCTCCTCTCAACAAGTAGAATGATGTACCTGACCAGATCAGTCGGTCTCTTAGAAACAAAAGCTTGCATTTATGTAGCACTTGTAGGGTAGTAATAAAACCCAAGATACCTCACAGCTGGATTGTCAAACCAGAAGTAGTGACAAGCAAAGCAAAGTGATCGCAGAATCCCTACAGTGGGGGGGAAAGCCATTCGGCCCATCGAGTCTGCACCAACCCTCCAAAGAGCATCCAACCTAGAACAAGCCACCCACCCTATCCCTGTAACCCTGCATCTACTATGGCTAACCCACATAGTCTGCACATCCCTGGACGCCATAGAGCAATTTAGCATGGCCAGTCCATCTAACCTGTACATCTATGGACTGTAGGACGAAACAGGGCACCCAGACGAAACCCACGCAGGACATGCAAACTCCACACAAGCAGTCACTTGAGGGCAGAGTCAAACCTGGATCCCTAGCATTGTGAGGCAGCATTGTTAACCACTGAGCCTATGATATTAAGTCAACGGGTGATGCCTCAGTCAAAGTCTTAAGTTTTAAGCAGATACTTAAAGTAACAGATAGGTGGAAAGATTGAGGGAGGAAGTTCCAGAGATCAGCATCTCGTCGACCAGAGGCACAGCCACTAATGGTGGAGCAACTAAAATCGAGATTGAACAAGAGGCAAGAATTAGAGGAACGCAGAGTTTTTGAAAGGTTTACAGACTGAAACAATTCCAGCAATAAGAAGGAATGGAATCCTGGAGGGATTTTTAAAGTAGGATGAGAATTTTGAGTCTTAGATTACATCCAGTTCAAAACCAAATTTATATTATAATTACTAATTGGCAACCTTGGGATTAGGGTGTGTTAGGGGAGCACTGCAAACTTCTGTTCCGAGTCAGACTCGGAAAAAACCCCACCACAGTAACAAAGCAGGGCTATTGTCAGGAGAATGGCAGTTATGCATTGAAATGTTTTACTGCATGTCAGTTGCTATGCAAATGCACAAGTTTGTCTTCAATGCAAATCATTAACAGCAGCCACTTGCCTGTTCAAATAAATAGTGGTAGCAACCAAACCCAAGATGTACACTCACACACACACACACACACACACACACACACACTCACACACA